AAAAAAACAACTCAATAGACATTTTCATTTGCAGATTTCAGGCAACAAGGCCAAATCTTTCTTAAGTAAATGACAACATGTTTAGGAAGTGTAAACTGAGGCCCCTTTCTCAACCTCACCGAGCTAACACTTCCTCTCAGTGTTTGGTGCAGTCTGTGGATCCCAAGCTCCTGTGGCCACTAAATGATGGTGTGCCCAGCCCTTAGACACCTGCAGACTCAGGAGAGTTGGGGATCTGGGGCAGTGAGCGAGGAGTCAGTTTGCAGCCCCATCCCTTGACCCCCACTTAGGCCCGTGAGTTACAGAAAGCATTGTCCACATTTCGTTAGGTTTTTGTAGCTGAACCTGACATCCAGTCAGCCTTACAAAAACCTAACGAAATGTTTACAAACTTTGGAGAAACCTAGGAAAACTGATCCTGTTGAAAACTTTTGTGTCTGAGCTGCCACCTAAGGGATAGTGTGCCCCCACCCCACCTTGGGACTCCCACTTGTCTCCAGCCTGGAGTCCTTCCTGAATCAAGTCACTGTCTGCCTCCTTGTTGAAGGCTGCTGACCACAAACGAACAAGCTGCCTTGTCCACATCACTTCTGTGACCCATGTCACCCTGTGGGCTACCCATACTTCCCACCATAGTGGGATGGAGGGGCTTGACTTCCTGCAGAGGCAGGATGACAGCCTTGTCAGGCTACTCCCGTGATGAAGCAGGTCTGCAGCCCAGAGCCCCTTACTCTATTCAGCAAGTCTGTGCCTGTTCTTCCCCCAAGGCTAACTAGTGAGGATGCCGCTGGTCACCCCTATCCTCCTACCCCCTGTACTAAATATGGCCCCCCAGCATCTTCATTCCAAATATTGACTCCCTTGGGGGAGGGCATGGCCATCTGGACCTCAGGTCTAGCTGAAACCTTGTTTCCTAGTTGAGTTCTACAGCAGTCTCTCTCCCATCCAATAAGGGACAAAGACGGCATGGCTTAGTAATGTCCTCCCAAAGAGCAAGTTGACAATGTTGATCAGGGACTAAAGAATGTTCCTATCCCAGAACTTTAACTCCCAGACATTTGTGTCAAGAACAGGCCAGGTCTGTAAGCACTGATTTCCATTCTTAAATGTATGGGGAATGATCATTTTATATATCTAAAATAGAGGCATCAACAATAAATTCTGCTATTTACATATATAAAATATTTTAAAGTCATTAAAATCCACTTAGGGGCTTGGGAAAACACTCACCTGGTAAGTATAGACTTGGTATGCAAGCTTGAAGACCTGCATCTGGATTCCCCAGCATAAATGTATAAGCTGAGCAGGGTGGTGTACATCTGTAACTCCAGTGCTGGGGTGGGGGTGGGGGGCAGTAACAGACAGGCCACTGGAACTTAAGGGACAGCCAGTCTAGTCGATCAGTGAGAGACCCTGCCTCAAGAGAGAATGTAGGAAGTGATAGAGGAAGACACATGACGTTGACCTCTGACCTCCACCCCCCCACATGCATGTGTATGCATGCGCACACAAAAAAGTTAAATCAGTTTAAAGAGCAGCTGATAATATGAGAAGATATTAATGTTATGATATTAGATTTAAACTGTCAAAATCTAATTAAACGTAAAAACAAATATGCACGTAGACATGGCATGTTATGTATTTGTGAAGAGAAGGGATGGGAGGAAGGGAGAGAAAGTGAGAGAGAGGCGGAGGGAGGGAGGGAGAGAGAGATGGGGGGTTGACTCTCACCTAAAGTTTCTGGCTGGTGACCACTGGGCCCATAGAGTTAATATGGAGCTGGAAAACTCCTATCAGCCAGTAGCGTGGTCACATTCTCTGTAGTTCAACTCACTGCTTGACATGACTTATGCATGTGTCATTACAAACTGGGCTGCGTACATGAATACTTAACATTGCACTCCAGATGCCTACAGCATCCAGTGTGGCACCAGCCTGTGCGGGTGCACAGACTGGGAGAAATGGGCTGTGCCATGCAGCCGAGGCCTGTAGTGTTGGTATGTTTCTTAGGAAGAATCTCCATCATTAATATATGCATGGCTGTGTGTGTGTGTGTGTGTGTGTGT